TGTCTGACATCTTATCACCGCTGAACAATAAATAGGTGTGAATATTTTTAGCCATGTTGTCGAAACAAATGAATAAGATTAGGAACAATGTCGTTTTGGAACAGCTGGTTGAAACAATGAAGTCAGTCACGGTCTTGTTGAATTGGGGGTGCGGTTAGTAATAGGTACTTTTCAAGTTTTCAATTTTTGTTAAGAACTCTTTAACCCCGAAGCCGGAATTGGGGGTGCGGTTACTATTACGTATGCGGTTTATATTAGGACTTTAATGGTAGTACCTATACATTTTGAATACAGTATAGATAGCACAGTGTATCATAAAACAATGAGCATGTTCATTAAAAATTATTCTCAAGAGCGGAGCTACGTTCTATGCTAAGATGCATACCACTACCATGGATTTCTATGGACTCTCCACAAGCTGCTGTGGAACACAGGACAAAAGAGCCGGTGAAAACAGCTACAGTCAAGAAAACAGAACAAATTCATCATTGAAGTAATCCTGCGATGCCAAATTTATAAATGTTGCACATGTACGGGTAATCTTGATACTGTTCAAGGGGATCTTGAAAACTAGCCCAAAGTACTGTTTTCTGAGAGTTTTCGACCTTTTTATCATGATGGTTACCAGGCAGGGAAAATGCCTGGATGACCCCCCCCCCCCCTCAGAATACAGCAGGATACTTACTTTTAGCCGCCGTCAGCATACACACTGCTAACTCACATTGTTCAGTTTCTACATGTACCAATACAAACCATCTAGGATACCGTCCAGTGACATTTTGACCATTCTCTCCAGCACTATCCAGTACTGGTAATCTGCAATTATAAATGCCATCGTCAGTTATACTTGCAGTGGCTTGTAACACAATCCTACTATCCGCTAAATCTAACTTGGGTAAAACAAATATCTGAAACCTATAAACCTTGTTCATCCTAGTGGGGGTTTGGAGGTTTTTTTCATTGAGGCGGGTACAAATCTTCTTGGGGATTGGGTAGGGTGGGCAGGCAACAAGGTTAAGCCTGCCTCACTGGGGGTACAAAACTTCCTCATTTGGTGGGGTGGGTAAAATCATTTTCTCCCACATTAAGCCTGTCTCAATGTAGGTCACTGAGATTATGTCTTTTCTACTGTGGATACAAATCAACCGCATTTGGGTTAGATGGGTAAAATTCTTAGGTTAAGCCAGTCTTACTGCATGTAAAAATCTCTCTCATTTGGAAAGGAACAGCCAATATGGTGAAACCTCATGTTTCAGGGATTGTGAATATCTCTGTGCAACTGTTCCATACAATTGCATGCCTAATAATTCAACATAGTGAAGTGGAGTGGAGAAGCACAACTTACCTCATAGCTCTAAGACCGATGCAATAGGCTAAATCAGCATCAAACGGCAACAATGCATTGAAAAGATAGCGAGAAAATGTATGCATAGGAACACTATCTGTGGCCACACAAACCCCTAAACCACTCTTTCGACCACCTGTAAAACAAAACAAAAGTTTTCTATGATTGGAATGATCATCCATTACATTAGGCTACATGCTAATTCAAAACATAATTTAAAAAAAAAAACTTTTGACTACTTATCTTAAGCAATTTTTAATTGTAACATTTTGCCAATTTTGTACATGGTAATGTTTTTATGTATAACTATGACAACAACAATGACTACAAGTTAAGCAAGGTAAAATGGTACAACTTAAAAAACTAAAATATTGATAAAATAACGTGCAAACCTTGCAAAAGTAGATTGGCCTGTTTGCGTAGGACAGAAACAAGATTTGCATCCAAGTCAATATGTTGTAGTTTAGTAATCAAATCTTCCTCAGCTCTGCACGCTTTCTCCTGGGCATATAGCCCGAGAGGCATTATACGTTGCTGTCCCAAGCCAATAAGAGCAGCTTCAAAAGCCAACATCAGAAATGTTTCATTCGGATCATGACTTGCTGGAACTTTGATGTGCACATAGTTTGGTCTTGTTGTAGTTACTGATGTACTGGCTATGTCACCTACTGTACAAATATAATACATAGCATCTTCTTAGTGTGACAGGTCAAATGCATTAACATTCTAATTAGCCTTGTAATTTACTTTGCGCATGCGCAGTGGTGCTCAACTTGACATCCAGTCAGTTGGTCACTGAGATTTGCGGCAAGAGCATCGCTTTGAAACCACTGAGGGACGACAACCCGTGCAGTATTTCCCATCTACTATCCATGTTTATGAATTCACTTTCGGTAAGATGATAGCTAATATTTGAAACGTATTTTGTAGAAAATTTAGTGTAAACATTGTATATTTCATTAACTTGTAAAACACAAGTAGGTGCATGTACACCACACGTACCCATTGTTTGCACGGAACAACGTTGAAAGCCCATTTCACCTGTTCATCGTGGTAATTAGTTATTCGGGATACATAAACTTATTATGAATTGTTCATTTTTCTTATTGTATTTGCGTAATATTTATGTAATATTTGTGTATATATTTGTGGAATTGTAGTTTTTCTAAATGAGAACTGGTCCGAGTTTGTGGCACTGTTTAAATGTGCGAATGGTTATGATTCAAGTTCAGCAGTTATCACGACTCGTTTATTTGTTCTAAATTATTGCAGGTGTGTTGTAAAAAGAAACTATGTAATTATATAGGGTGTCACTGAATCGTACTGGTTGGGGTGAGTTTTTATACGCTTTACTCTAGTGCAATATTATTTCTGTGACTCGCATTAGATGTTATTTATATTCATGAAAAAATAGAAGTCTCTATGCGTCGACTTGAGTCTATTGAGAGGCATGATTCAGTTTATTGTGTAGTTCGTACATTCAGTACTTACATAGTAGCTAAACTATTCTATTTTGATATCATGGTTTCTACTTGGAATTATGATCTCCATACCTCCAATGACATTGTATTAATCTTGACTATTTATTGTATTTATGTAGGTTTCAGTCGTGTTAACTTTCATAGTTGCTCATATTGGAAATTAATAGAACGCATGGTGACTTCACATCTGCCTGGTGTCATATTTTCTGAATTACATTTGCAAGCAAGCAACACAATTTGTATTAATCTCTTCAGCTACCATAGTAACAAGCTGCATTTTTTTAACGATTACACTGTAATGGACTATATCGGATAAGATGAATGCACAGATACAATCTTCCGATGCACAGGTGATATACATATGTAAACATCACCTAGACAGCTGGAAGATTACTTTTAGTCAAAACAAGCAGCCTCTCGGCTGAGATAGCTCCGCTGTTAGCAAGACACATTTCAATTAAAGAACTGAAGATATCATTAGAAAATGAACAATATGTATAGTATGTATAGCAATCGGACTTTCTGTTTTCAACAAGAATTCAAAAATATCACTTTTTACCAAAAATGACATAAATATTCATCAAAATTAGATAATTGAAGATATCATCACAAAATGGACAAATCTGAGAAAGGTCCACATGTAGTACCTAAATATGTAATATCAAAGCAATTGGACTTGCGGTTTTTAACAGGAAGTCGAAAATATCACTTTTACCAAAAATGACAAAAATATTCACCAAAATTAGAGATTTGAAGATATCATCATGAAATGAACAAATCTAAGAGAGGTCCACCCTAGGTACATACACACCAAGTATCAGAGCATTCAGGCTTGTAGTTTTCAAGAAGAAGTCGAAAAAGTAAAACATTGACACGGACGACGACGACGGACAATCACTCATATGATAAGCTCCGCTCGACAAAGTCGACAGCGGAGCTAACAAAAATTGATTGAAGTGAATGATTTGTATATGAAAATATGTTTTTGTTTTCCCACATGTAAAAATTTAATCAGTTACATACAAGTGAAATTTGAAAGATTTGAGCATAGTAAGAGTGTAGTACACAAGCAAATTGTGACAGGTGGTTTACTACTACCAAAATACACAATAAATCAATACACACTGCATGTGATTGAACTATTTAGACTAACTATTTAATTTGGTTTGTCTGGTGTATTCACACAACTTGGCTATTAAAAATATAAGAAACACGTCCCAATTAATCAGTTATATCAAGTATTTTTTTTAATGATCTGTGATAATCACATGATCCCTCATTAAACTGCAATATAAAAAGTCCCCCAAAATACTATTTAAAATATATTTAAACAAAATTTGGCAGGAAAAAATAACAGCTAATTGTACCTATCATAATTTACATTTCTTTCAATCTACGATCAAAATACTTTAAAAAAAAAAACACTGTTTCATGTTCCATGTAGTACATTGCTATGTTTTTTGTATGTGACTTACCAGTAGTAGTAGTAGTGCCAGCTTGGCTTTCATCTCTAGTAACTGATATATCAGTTAATGTATCAAAAAGACAACCAATAGGATCCAATGGATGACCAATCCATCCTTCTTTACTGCTACCTAGCTGTAGTAACCTTTGACCTATACTCCTACATACACCTGTTAATAAGATAGACATTTTAGTACGTCTGTTCCCATTGGCTGATCGATTGAGACATTTTAGTACGTCTGTTCCCATTGGCTGATCGATTGAGACATTTTAGTACGTCTGTTCCCATTGGAGGATCGATAGATGGTTGTATCATTTTTACACACTGTAGAACACTATGCCTAATAAAGAAGATCATTAAAGCAACTACAAAATTCAAAGTGTGGAATCAGTCTGAACATCATACAAGCAGCCTATCGGCTGAGATAGCTCCGCTGTTAGCAATGCACATTTCAATTAAAGAACTGAAGATATCATTAGAAAATGAACAATATGTATAGTATCAAAGCAATCGGACTTACAGTTTTTAACAAGAAGTCGAAAATATCACTTTTTACCAAAAATGCCAAAAATATTCACCAAAATTATAGAATCGAAGATATCATCACGAAACGAACAAATCTGAGAGAGGTTCACATGTAGTACCTATATATGTAATATCAAAGCAATCG